TCTTTGGTTCGGAACTGTGTATCCCTGAATAAATCCCACCCCCATTTCCGCTTTCCCTGCGGGACCCTCTTGTGTGTTTTAATTCGTTCTGATGTGGCCCCTTGCGTTTCTGTCGGGCCAAAGCGCTTTTAGACAGCTTTTTGCAGCGGTATCTATGCTTGTATCCTGCGTCTTTTGGAAGAGAAGTCCCGGTGCTTTACAATAGGTTGAATTTGGTTTGACATTTTTTGGTAGATTGTCTGAGGGAAAAAGGAATCCTTGGGTTACTTCAGGACCCCTACTGCTCCCTGCCCAAACTGACGTTTGCGAATTGCGGCTTTGGAAATTGGAGTGTTGATTAGAGTGTAGAGAGTGTTGCTGATTTCATTCCTTTGAGTACTAGTTAAACCATTTAAATATCCAGAAGAGAGAGCTATTGGCATTCGAATCGGTTCTGTTTGGACCTTTTGAGTACATAAAATGTCGCGGTTTTGAATCTTTTATCGAATTTTGAGTTTGCGATACATTTATTTAACTTTTTTTCAAATGTTTAAAAGGAAAACATTTTGTGAAATGGGAGGAGTCTATCACATGGATTATTCTCTTCAGATTTTAAATGTTTAATTCATATTTTTAACCTTGAACATTAAAACAGCAACGAAGAGGCATAATTTTAAAGAATAGGTGAGCTATGGAAAGGACAGACTTTTTTAAAAAATGATTGGTGAAATTCTATTACCGTTAGTCCTTATTGTTGTTGTTAAATGTTAACATTTACTTGAAAGTTTCATTAATTTTTCTGGTAGGTAGCTATGAGAAGAAATGGGTAATTTCTCCACCTTGAACACTTTCATTTCAGTACATTTCAGTTAGTTTTAATGATTTGAGTATTGAAAGTAACTGTCTGGTTTGAGACAGGAATTTAACTTAAGTAGCACTTGAAAACATAAAGTATAATGCTTTTGCTTCTCTTTTATTTTGGAAATTTGTGATTTTGTGAATTATTAATCAGTATATTGTTTCTGTTGGAAAATTTATAATCAAAATGGTTTACTACCCAAAGGTAGGTACCTATTCTCTCCTAAATGTGTGTGATTTTCACGTTTAAAAACGGAACCTGATATAGATTATTTTAGAATCACCTGTAATTCAGGCTGAGAAAATTTGAGGCTTTCCTCCTCCTTGTTCAGTCTAATGTCTGTTTCCTTGTGCACAATTTTTTGTTAGTAAAGAGTTTGTTAAAAACAGGAAGATAGTGGGATTAAAAAGAAAGTAGTCTTTATTCTCTTCACAGTGTGTGTAACGTTAATAAAAGAGCTTAAGAAATCTAGAGACATTTACCAGATTGTTTTTTGTGTAAGCAAACTTTAAGGAGAAAGGGAATATTTGTTTTGTTAACATCTTTTTCATTAACAAAGCGATTTGCTTCATATTAATATATTTCGTTCCCCTTTATCTTTCCTATGTTACAGTGAAATTATAAGATTAATTTTACAAGTATTTGTTTTAAAATAAATTCAAACAGCTGAATACTAGACTGGGCTTTTCATTGACCAAGTTAGCATATTGTTTAGATAATTAACATATGGCTAGAAGTCTATTACTTTGGATTTAACCACAGATGTTCTAATGGATTTTCAATGTTGGGATGCAAGTCTAACTTTGAAATTCTATTTACAATTCCAAACGTTTTGTTTCAAGACTTTTTTTGCGAGTCAATATTCATTCTTCCCAGGCTGCTTTCTAAATCTATTTAAGGCAAGCTGCCCGCGCCCCCACTCCCCCAGTCTGTGACAAACCCCATACTTAGGGGCTTATCCTGATATTAAGTCTCTTGCTTCAGTAATGAAAATGTGCTAAATATCCAATTTATTATTGAATTATTTTAGAAAAGGCATTAGTCTTATTTGCCTTTTGGGGAGAAGCTGGTATATAATGGCAGAATTTTTATACATAGGATAAAATAAGTATATGTTTATGTGGAGAGATCCAGGTCTCAGCCGCTGATCTGAGCTTTAAAAATTGACAGTTTCAGCGTGCAAATGATATTTAAATTGTATTCTGTCTAGAAACTTCATCCGTTGCTTCTACACTGGGGAACTAAGAACTCAGTTCCAGGTAACAGTAACTTTTCCAGAAAATCGGAGCGTTACCAAACTCAAAACGCTTCAGAATCCCTCTACATAAATGTTTGAGACAGGGCAAGAAATTTAGTTTACAAAGAAGGGCGGTTTCGAGCACTAGTCTTCTGATCCCTGGAAGTGATAATTAGCACTGAAGAATGGCAGGGACAATTGGATGGACACCCCTCATTGCAATCTCATTGGCCTTGAGCTCTCTTGAGGGGATAAAGGCTTGTTTCGGCAAAAGGTAAATTCTTGAGAAGAGCAGCAGCCCTTCTAGACTAGACTTCACCAGATCTCAGACTCAGCGCACAAATGGGAGCATAACCGCCCTGCCCCATTCTGCAGTGCAGAAACCCTGCGGCTCAACCTTTGCATCCCTAGAGGGGCCAGGGTCTATGCTGGGTCCAGAGCTGGGAGGAGATGCGGTTTCTTCACACATTAATTTTTGTGTGGTGGGAGTGCGCCAACAGTTCCTAAATCCCTTTCCCGACAACTGGGATGTGGAGAAGGGAGTGGAGAAGAGCAGTGAAAGGGCCCTACTTGGTACAGGAGATCATCCCCCAATTAAGAGAAAATTCTTTACAGGGCCCAAAGCCTGAAGTTTCTACCTCTCAGAGTGGGCCTCCCCTTCAGGGAGCCACTTCCCTTGGCTCCCTGAATCATATCACTTGGATATGGATGGGCTGCTGTAGGGCTGGTTCACGGGATTACCTGTTTGTTCTTTGGTGGCTACGATGCTTTCTTTGCTGTTTCTCTTCCTCTTTATTGGGAAGTGGCTATGTTCAGCCCAGATCTGAAGTAGGTAATACTAGATAGAATGGGGCTTTGCTAAGAGAAAAAAGAAGCTATGACTACTAGCAAGCAGATTTGCCGAAGAGGTGAAGGGATATATTAGGGGACTTTGAAGGCTCACAATATTGATAAGGCTCATGTACTGGACTGCCCTTAGTTTCATGATTAGTCTTCTCTTTACCCTTCTGTTTTTAGAAAGCTGGGCAACCATGTACTGGCTTTCTCTGGGCCTAAAGGGAAAGGAGGCAGGTCTCCTTACTTTGGTGGGAGGGGATGTTTATGGAACTAGAAGCCACATCCGAGGAGATAGACACATCCTTCTCAGGATGGAGGCAGCAATTCATGCTTGAGAAACGCAGGCGGAGGGCTTCAAGGTCTGTGTCCACCAGCCCCTGCAGGTGATGGGGACTGTGTAGTAGCATTGGCATGGGGTTCCTTAGCTTATCCACAGTTGCCAGGGCTGTAGACTGCAATGAGGGAGTATGAGTATTTGCTATCTATTAGGGAGAAGGAAAATAGGCCCTATATTATACATCCGATCTAGGAATACAGAAATCAATTATTTCTGAGCCTCCTCCTTACTTCTGAGCCCCTTTCTAAGCCCAGAGAGGTCCCCTTTCGCTGTCACCGTTCAAATACTCATCGGTTAATTAATGGTAACCTAGCTGTCTACCTAAAAACCAGGAATCATTTAACGTTTTACTTTTCCTGTGGGTGGGGGAGGTTAGGAACTCTCTTTTGACACATACGAATTCCTTGGAGGAAGGGCAAAAGGAGTGAACAAACCTGCTTTAATGAATCTCTTAAAGATCTGCGTTTCCCAGGAAATTCCTGACATTTTTAGTTCGTGAATTTCCTAAAGCCTGCTTGGTTTTCTCCATTCTGGGTCCTAGAGAGGAAGAAGAGTGGGCTAGGGGCTGAGGCTCGGCAAGGCCTGGTTCATCCGCAGAGCTGGCCGGCAACCCAAGCTGGGCTCAGCCCTGAGCAGAGTGCCCCCCTTACCCAAATCTCGGAAGGAGGAGGGGAAGGCAGGCGGGCAGTCGTGGTCCCAAGAGGGGCTAGTTGCAGGTTTTTGGATGAGTGTGGGGATTCTTTTTGATTGTTGTTTGGGGGGAAGGGCAGAGCCAACGGGAAGAGGCACTGCGGGCACCCCGGTCCTGGTGCGGCTGCCGTCCTCCCCTCTGTCCCCCCCCCCTGCCGGTGAGTGCGCCTGCCCGCCCGCTCGACTGTGCGGGGCTGCGGTTGGGGGGAGGGGGGAGCGGGATCATCTGAGGCCAGAGCCGCTCTGCCGTGCGCGGGGAGAGGGAGCGGCGGGAGCTAGGGGAGGGACAGGCTAGGTGTCTGCTGCTCCGCGCCGCTGCCGGCGCCCCATCCTCATCCCTGGTAGCCCCCTCTGCAGTTGAGGGTTACCGCCTTACCACCTCTCCTCTTCCTCGCAAGCCTCTGCGGCCAGGGCTCTGCGGTAGGAGACAGCCCAGCTAGGCAGTAGACAGGCCTGTCTGGGTTTGGGTCTGGGTCTGGCTGGAGCCTGAAGGGGAGGGGTGGCTGTGACTCGGTGTCCCCTCTCTGCAGCGGACCCGACTGCGCTGCGCAGGCCCCTCCCCCCACATCCTCTCTTTGGGGTCACTGGAAGGCAGAGTTCAGGCCTGCTATCTGTGCTTAGTATGGCAGTCCCCTTTTCACCCCTGTTTCCCTAACTGTCCGGGCCGAAGCCACTCAGGGTCTGGCCATCAGCGACAGCCACAGTGGTAGTGGTGGTGGTGGTGGTGGCGGCGGCGGCAACAGCAGCTGCGACGCGGCACGTCCCGCTCCTCCCCCTCCCCAGCCTGGGGTGTTGGTGAGGGCCAGCGGGTGGGCGCCGCCTGGCGGGCGGGCGGACAGGGGGGTTGGCAGCAGGGAAGGGGCGTGGGTCACGTGCCGGCAGGCGGGTGGGCGCGTACAGTAGGGTGCCCTGCTACTGTACTGGGGAGTCAATGCCCTGTTACCGGGTCTCGTCTGTCTCGTCTCTCCCGCAGATCTCGCGAGAGTGGCTGACTGGCTGTGGGGGTTGCGGCGGCAGCAGGCGGAGCCGGGGAGGGAAGGCAGCGGCGGCTGAGGCGACTGAGGCGGCGGCGGGCGGAGCGGCAGGCGGCGGCGCGGCGGTGGAGCGCAGCATCATGGCGGACCGAGACAGCGGCAGCGAGCAGGGTGGTGCGGCGCTGGGCTCGGGCGGCTCTTTGGGGCACCCTGGCTCAGGCTCCGGCGGGGGCGGTGGCGGCGGCGGGGGCGGCGGCGGCAGTGGCGGCGGCGGGGCCCCCGGGGGGCTGCAGCACGAGACGCAGGAGCTGGCCTCCAAGCGGGTGGACATCCAGAACAAGCGCTTCTACCTGGACGTGAAGCAGAACGCCAAGGGTCGCTTCCTGAAGATCGCTGAGGTGGGCGCAGGCGGCAACAAGAGCCGCCTCACTCTCTCCATGTCAGTGGCCGTGGAGTTCCGCGACTACCTGGGCGACTTCATCGAGCACTACGCGCAGCTGGGCCCCAGCCAGCCGCCCGACCTGGCCCAGGCTCAGGACGAGCCGCGCCGGGCGCTCAAGAGTGAGTTCCTGGTGCGCGAGAACCGCAAGTACTACATGGATCTCAAGGAGAACCAGCGCGGCCGCTTCCTGCGCATCCGCCAGACGGTCAACCGGGGGCCCGGCCTGGGCTCCACGCAGGGCCAGACCATTGCGCTGCCCGCGCAGGGGCTCATCGAGTTCCGTGACGCTCTGGCCAAGCTCATCGACGACTATGGAGTGGAGGAGGAGCCGGCCGAGCTGCCCGAGGGCACCTCCTTGACTGTGGACAACAAGCGCTTCTTTTTCGATGTGGGTTCCAACAAGTACGGCGTGTTTATGCGAGTGAGCGAGGTGAAGCCCACCTACCGCAACTCCATCACCGTGCCCTACAAGGTGTGGGCCAAGTTCGGACACACCTTCTGCAAGTACTCGGAGGAGATGAAGAAGATTCAAGAGAAGCAGCGGGAGAAGCGGGCTGCATGTGAGCAGCTTCACCAGCAGCAGCAGCAGCAGCAGGAGGAAACCGCCGCTGCCACCCTGCTGCTGCAGGGTGAAGAAGAAGGGGAAGAAGATTGATCAAACTGAATGGAAAAAAACACACACACGCACACACACACAGCCACACACACAGAAAATATACTGTAAAGAAAGAGAGAAAATAAAAAGTAAAAAAAGTTTAAAAAAAGAAAAAAAAAAACTGTTAACTCCAAGGGAGCACCACCCACAGAACCTCCACCAACTGACAGTTTCTCTTCTTGACTTGCCACCCATCGCTGGATGTTGTCCACTTTATCCACCATATAAAACAGTAAGCAGCTGCTAAAAACAAAAAAACAAAAAAAAATGCAAAAAGTAATAACATTATATGAACTGTGTTTCCTACTTGATTAAAAATTATAAAGAACTGAGTGTTTATTTCCCTAATTAACCAAGAACTTTTGTACACGTTTAAGCTATTATTATTAAAAAGTGTTTGCAAAATGGTCAAGATTATAATATTGCTGAATTATATAAAAGTCCTTTTCATGTTGAGCTAACATTTGACTTTAGCACAAAAAAGAGATATTTTAGAACACGTAAAATAATATTTTTAGTTTTTCTCATTTTGTTACCAAATTTCAAACCTTACATGGAGGTTATTATAGTATATTTGACACCCTATATACCTGTGATTAGAGATGTGTATATATATGAGGGCTAGGCATGCTGTGTGTCTGAGCTTTGTCTAAATGTTATGCAGAAGTTTGTAGAGTTAAAGGTACGTAGGTTTAATTCATGCAAGGTAAACAATAAGTGCTCTCTTTTATACAATATGCATTGCATCTGGACCTTAAACATATAAAAATGGTCAGTGAAACTTCTGTGAACATGAAGAAATTATTAAAAAAGGCATTTAAATGAAATTTGCTAAGTTGTGATTTTTACGGTTTGAACCAAAGTTATTCAAATAGTAAAAGGAAAAAAAAAGAAAGAAAAAGGAAATCTCCCATAATATTTTTCTGCATCTGTTTGCTTTGACTGAGTAGGTGTTTTGTCATTCTTGTGTATATGAGATGTACTTGTATCATTCATAATATATTTTTTTTATTATGTGTAGAAAGATTTTAAAAACTTAACTAACGTGCAGCAATTTCCAGTGAACTTGTACTTGGACATCAGGTAGTAAGTCTATCTGTGGTCACTAGCACTGTCTCCTAAACTTGTAAGAGGTCTGAAGCTATCCTTTGATTTTTGCCAGTGCTATTAACTTATGTAGACCTGTTAAAAAGCAGAGCAACGCAATTATAGAGTTATCCTACTGAGCCATGGATTCTGAGTTTCATTTAAAAGTGAAAGCCAAGTTGGTGTATGTAAAAGATTTCCATGTAGCTGTGGTGCTAGTTATTACTGGCTACATTATATGCTAATTGTATTTGTGTTCCCCAAGTGTAAAAGCCTTCTATCAAAAGTATATTCTGTAACTCTTATATTCCCAATGTAGGGTATGAAAATGCAAGCTTAGGAGAGCACTTTACCAAGCTGGTGTCCTCCAGACTGAAATTGTTTGTAACGCTAGTCTTTTACAGGTTTTCATTTAAAGATGTTTGTGTGCTTTTAATTGACAACTAACTTCTTGCTGCTGTATAGTAAAATATTAATATATTTTTATCATTAAACTGCTGCATGACTATCATCTTTGAGTGAAGAGAAAATGTTATAAAAAAAGATGCCTTAAACAGTACATTTTGGTTTGGAATTCTGTAGAAAGTATTTTGGTAAAAAAAAAGAAAAAAAGAAAAAAAAAAAGGGACTTTGACAGAGTTTTGGAGATGGAATTGTTTCTTGGCAAATCCAGTCTTATAGATCTAAATGATGTATGTCGAAGACACCACATGTAGGAGCTGGAAGGTATCAGTGCTTCTCATTGTAAAGCATTGGCCTAGGAAGGTGAAACAGTTGTCTTTTTGAAGGTTTTTTTTTTTTTTTTTTTCTTTCCTGCTGGTTCTTTGGGTTTTGATTTGATATTTTTAAGCTCCCTGGTTGAGTGTGCTGTCTTTGTTTTTGAGATCTACTGTATGTGTTGAATAACAAGCTATTTCCATTGTACTGTGCATTTTCCCATTAAATTGTTTGCTTTTAATATTCATACAATGTTAAATATGAGGTGACCGTACAATAGTTAGGAATTTCTTTACTTACAAAATCACTGGAAATGATTAAATTGCTTTTCCCTTTCCCTCAAGGTGCATTTTTCTTATTTCCATATAGTAAAGTTGAGCTTTTACAGTGCATAATGTGACATTTGGAATGCTTATCAATTGCATGTAAACATTAATAACCTGCACTTTTTTGTCTTAAGGTTTGTTGAGCTGTTTTGTTCACTGTACTTTAACTGTGATATGGAAAAGACTGCATTCTCTGTGCTGTTTGTTATTAGTTAGGAAAGAGAATTGCTTTGATTTTGTCTCTTGTTTACTATAGCTTCTTAAAGTTAAGCCTTGTACTACAGGTTGTTGGAGTACTCCTAGATAGTGTTTCATAGTAGCCAGCAATAAGTAGTGCAAGTCAACAGAAACACAGCAAACTTAGGCAAAGTGTCCTTTCCCTTGAGATGCGAGTTCTTTCATGAGGTTTTCTTTAGGGTCAGAGTTACCTAAAGTGAAGCCTCTCTTACCTATAGACTTCACACACTGCTTGGAATCCTACCGGATCAAGAAGCACATGTATTTTGTGCAATTGTATTTACACTATAACAGTTGAACACAATCTTACTAAGATTTTGAAACCAGTGTCTGATGTATGGTCAGTGGGTTTAAAAAATCCACATGCAGATCTTTTAAGACTCAAGAGGTGATCATAGAAAAGACTAAGTGACTGTAAAGATGCTCTCTTTTGCATCTCACTTTACCTCCCCAAGCACCCTCCCAACCTCCCCTTCTCCCCTCTCCTGTTTCATCCTTTCCCCACCCTTGCCCCCAGGTGCTCGGTACTTTACCAAGGTTCTATATTTCAGTGTTTTATGTTGGAGTATTTTCCTTGTTTTTATTTACTAGTTGGTAAACCTATTTGTGTTGAAACAAAAAAAGGAAGTGGTATATTTGACCATATGTGTTATCCATAGAAGACAGTATGATCAAATGTGCCAAAAACACAAATGAAACTTAATTCCTGACAAGTATGCCTTATTTTTATTGATCTGCTTTGTCTTACAACTGAGGTCCAAGAGCTTGGTTCAACTATATTATTTGCCTAAGTATAAAACAAAACTTGAACTGCATTGCAATATTGACATTCTTTAAAATGAGAGACACTGTCAAGTAATTTAATCCAGAGATCAGCCACCAGATTTGAAATGTCCATATATACATGTGTGTGTGTTGGGTGTTGTTACATGTTTGTTTGTTTCTTTTAAATCACCAAATCTTTTTTTTTTAAAGCTACCTTTTATTTGTGCCTCCTATTTATCATGCTGATGTTAGAAGCAGCAGTCATCCAGCCACAGAGGGAGCTAAAGTTAACTAACCAGAACTGTAGAAATCATTATACATGTCTTTGACAACAAAGGAAGTTCATAAAAGCCATGTCGGCTTTTCCTCCACTAGATAGGGGTTGGAGGTAGATGAATACTTTTGCCAAATGGGAAAAAAAAGACAATACTAGTTAGAAAAGACAAACTGTTTTCCAGCTTCTCAAAAGCCATGGAGAGTAGAAACCAAAACTAACAGGGAAACAAAAAACCTTTAAAGTGTCACTTTCTAGTTGTCCCATGCAGGGGTTGAAATTTGACTCAAAGTAGAAAGTATATCATTGTATTTTTTAAGTCTTCACATCTGGAGAGAGAGAACTTCCAATTTGATCTTTCAGATATTGGAGAAAGCTGCTAGTAAATTTAATCCCTGCCTAAAGAAGAAAGATAATTTCATTTGGGAGCAGATACTTTATTGCCTTGAAAAACAGCACTGTAATAGTCTATGATAATTAGTTGTAGAATAATAACCTTTATCCCTTTCAGACTATGCAAATTATTAAATAAGTGTAAATTAGGATTCCATTAAAGATAGTTGATTATATTACAATCAGATGGCATTCACAAACTTAACTGGAGCATATACAAATAAAATCTATTAGTCTAAGTTTTATATGCTAACAAAAAAATATAGCTACCTATTCTAAAAATGGTAAATATTAATATTGTATAATAGGACTGGGAAGACTGCCTCCTTTTTTGAAGAGAGATTAAGGATTTTTATAATTGTTTTTCATCAAATTTTAATATTTTTGTCAAATTTTTAGGTATTTAATTTGTAAAACAGTTTGCTTTGTACTGGCATACAGAAAATAGGGTATTGATTTTAAACTTTTTGAAGCCAAGTGATCAAGTACATTTGTAATAAAAGTCAATGGATCTATATCAGTTGTACTCACTGTTTTCATTTCTTATTCTTACTAATATAGAAATACTGTACTTTTTCTGCAGGAAAACAATTTAATTTGGGTGGAGGGGGAGGGAAAAAGCTAAGCCTGTTGATAATGAGAATTTGAATGGGTATCATAGCTAAGTACTTTGTATCATCTTTTAGTCAATTAAGATTTGGTATATTAAAAAAGATGCATATGTCCATTTTTTTCTTCCTGTTTTCTTATGGAACTTGATGTTTGTGGGGGTTATCTCACTCATTTTTGTTTCTGTGCTTTAACATTTTACATTTTGTCGCTGCTGAAACTTTCTAAGCTAACACGTTTTTCTTTTTTGACATTTTGGGTTTTCTGCCAGCCATGGTGACCCCACCATGGGCATGTTTATTTTTATCTTCCACACATGGCTTACCCTCTCTTCTACAGCATTCCCAATCAGCTTTTCACATAGACATACATAGACACACACATAGACACCATGCAGATGATTTTAGAATGAGGCTTTCTGAAATTGTTGCTCTTGTAGCTTTCGTAGCTCTACAATTCATTTTATTTTACATGTGAACATACTTTTAAGATTTTTCCTCATAAAAAACAAGATACCAAATCTAATGACTTTTTATTTTTTCCAAGTTTTTTAAATAACAGAATGAAATCGTGCTTTCTATGTAAAAGAAGGATGCTAAAGCAGGGGAGTCTTTAGCATGTTAGGTTTGGGACAGTTGATGATAACTCTGAGTATAACACAGTTGATTATTCCTAAATTTGAGTATGTTAATAATTTGTTATATATATATATATATATATACACTTCCCCATGAAAGTAGAATAAATAGGGAAGTTTTAAAGAATTCCTTAAGCTGTTTGCATCCAACAAAGTTATTTCTGCAAAGTTGTCTCTTGAAGTTCATAAAGTTTTAAACCATATATTAAATTTTAATGTTTTTTTCATTGCATGTTTACTGCATTTTGACCATTCATAATGAAGTATGTTATAAAACTAAAGTGATGACTACTATTAAAATTACTGTTTTCATCCAGCAGCATTAATTACTATAAAGTCTTCTTTGCAGAATTTGCAATATAGCTTTAAGAAAATCTTGATTTTAGTATTTGAGGGGTTATTGATCCTAAACAAAACCTAAATTGACAGGCCATTTTTGAATAGAAAGTTCATTATTATGGGTTAAGTGAAGATCATCTAAACTAGCATTAGTATGAGTAAGGTAGAATCTCATGATGCCAGATAAACCAGGTGAAAAGTGAAAAATATGGGTTCCAACCCAACTGTTTGTCATCTTTCATCTGCTAAACTATCAAGTTATGATATTGAATAGTACAGACAATTTATGTCTTTAGGAAAGTTAAGTATGGCAAAGATCACTTGTTAAAAACATTTTTCTTACCTAGAATTTCACAGCTATTCATTTCCTGTTTTTCCTTTTGTCCCCATATTTGTTTGGTATTTATTTATTTTTCTTTTTTTCCTGCTGTGCTTTGCTTTTGTGGAAAATTGTCTTGTTGATAGGTAGAAACATGGTGGTGATCTGTATAAAAGTTGCTTCTTACAGACCAGAAGTATTTTACTGATTTTGGAAATGCAAAATTTTTGCAATAGTTTTCATGAAAGCATACCTTGTTCTGATAATTTTTAGTAATTAGTTATTAATAACATTTCATGAGAAAAATTTTAAGTTAAAAGAGGTTAATTTTCTTGATTTAGGGTGCACTTTAATAATTAAAGAGGCCTCCCAGTTCAAGTACCAAGCCCTTTTATTCTAGAATTGTGAGAAACATGGAAATAAGCTTGTTATCATGTGTCTAAAATGGATTAATACAGAAGAACCCTAGGAGGATTTAAGAAAAGATGCTCTTATTGTGAAGTGGCAGTTCAACTTATGGGTCAGTTGACTTACCAATCGCTTTCACTAGCAAACAGTGATGGCTGTCAGCTAATAAATTAGCAGACACATTGGGATTGGGTCAAACTCCCATGTAGATGACATGGGTTGGCAGTTTCCAAGGAAAGCAGTTGCTGGTGGCACATGACCTATCTACCATATACATCTGGCATTTTCTCTCTACTATCATCTTCTTTCCTTGTTTCTCTTTCATTTTCGTCTTTATTCTTCTTGTCATAGATCAGCCAGTGGCACTCAAGCTTACCCCCATCAGAGGGAAGTAAAGAAATTGCTGACTCCTGCCTTAGAACATAACATAGCTAACTGATGATCCAGAAAGATTTCTGTATTATGAGGTAATTGGGCAGTTTTTTTCTGACTGCTATTTTCCCCATAGTCTTAAGTTGGAAGTGTGAAGGGCATTGAAATTAATGTTTATTAAGAAATTTATGAACTGAAGAGAGTGAGAAGTATGTGTAGGTAAGTTACTAGGGGCTGAGACTTATGATACGGGAATTTAAGAGCAGAAAAGGGAAAGCTGTTTAATGTGTTTGTGAATGGAGTTTGAGAGGCATATAAGGGAATGGTTTGGAGTTTGGGGGGAATTTTTATTGGCAGTAGGAAAAGGTACTAAGGTAGGGTTTGAATGAGAGTTATTTGCTAAGGACAATAAAGTTGGTATTCACCAAGAAGTTTAAATAAAGCTAGAGAAAATGAGTCCCTTCTTGATTATGAGAAAGCTGTTGGTCTGTAGCTCGATGTTATGATGATGTATTATACAAACCTGTTTTCATGTGTAGGATATTTGCTTTTCTGGAACAAATTCAGTAGCACAATTGTGGAATGGCAACTTTTCTGGTCAAAGCATGTTGGCACTGGGAACTTTATATTTTGAAGAAAATTTTAAACTTTCTCAGAGTTGTTTTTATACTATCAAAAATATTTATCATACCAAATATCTATTTTCTTGGGCTGATGTTACAGTATAATTTACTTTTACTTTTCAAAATGGTTTGGGGATTAAATTTTTTGATTTCACAGTCCAAAATCTTTTACATTTGCAATCCTAGCAACCATTTAAACGTCATAGACTTTATAAGACTCTTAATACTATATTTCTGAAATTATATGTCATATCCTCCAAATTCATGTTTCTGTTTATTTTTCCACTTTCTCTATTACTTTAAAGTGCAGAATTTGCAAGAGTTCAGTGGTGGCAGATATTAATATAATTTAGTTCATCTTGGAGATTGTTATGCCTTTTGTAGGGTGAGCTGATAGTGGTTAGCTTTCTGCACCCATTATCCAAGTAGTAGTTAAAAATTTTTAAAGTAAAGAATTGTTATAGTATTTTTAAGTTACATAATTCAAGTATATTTGGATTAACCATTGGTTATCTAGTTTAGTATGGGTTTATTCCCAGTGATTTTGACAGATTACTTCATGTCTTTCATGTTTCATTTTACCCACATTGCTATACATTAGTAATAGAATCTCTTTAAAGATACCAAAAAGAGGTTCTGGTTTTGTACTTGGAAGGCAATTTGTTTCAGCAAATAATCAAGTTCATCAACAATTGCAAAATAATTTTAATATAGCGTATTTTGTAGAGTTGGTACTTAGTATGATTTTCAAATTTTATTGTGTGTCAGGTTTCAGATTTTAAATTATAAGATCGTTGTATACTATAACTTGTTTAAGTCAATGTAGGCCTTCTTAAATAGCTCCTACCTTAGGAATCATTTAAAAAGAAGTGAATTCTCAAACCGGTGTCAAGAACCAGTGGTTTAAATGACTGTGAGACAAGTCTTGGAAAGACTTCCTTGAGTCCAGTCAGTGGACATAAATGATAGCCCATTTCCATGCTGCATACAGTTGTTAGGGTTTATAAAGTTGTCAATATGTAAAAGTACAAAAGCAAGAAAGACTATGTAAAGTTGCCTATAAAATTTCTAGTTTTCATTATTTGCACTATTTATCTTTGCACTTGATTTTTTGAAAGTTAAGACTAGTCACTTTCACTTTTGTTTCTAGTCTACTCTAATTCTTTACAGAATTAAGTTTTCAATATCCCACCCAAAGCAAACTTATATGCAAATTAAATATACTTTATAAGGCCAAGAAAATATTTCTTAGTGTTAGATATTAAAACAAAAATTTGTTTTGATAAAACTTTTACTGTGGGCCTTTATTTGCTAACAAAACCCTTTGTAAATGTGAGCTTTCTTGAATTATTTGAATAGTCAAAGTGAAAACTTAGGATGGGGGGAAAATGCATGAAGTGATGTCTTTGAGATCCCAATTCCAGTCCAAAGTGGCCTGGTTTTGGAGTGTTGATTCCCCCCCCCCCCCTCCTACTGAGCTTAGAGCTGAATCTAGCTGGGTGTCAGCTTAAAAAGCTGAAAGTAAAGTGGATAACAAGTGGCAGCTCCCTCTTTCATGTAGTTTTCCATAATGCTTATAGGGTTTCCTCATGGTCTATGTGATATAACTGGTATAAAATAATTAAATACTCCATTTTGGAATTCAGGGTTGAGTCACTTTTTGATGGGGGGAGGGTAAGGGGTAAGAGATTTTATTTTAACCAGAGACATTCTTATAACCTCAAAGATGTGCTATACAAAGAAAGAGGCTACCTGTATACCTGTAAACATATTTTTTTGCCTTCGGTGAGATTGTGTGACACAGTTAGTGTTCAGAATTGCAAAAACATTTTCTTTTTGACAGCTTTGTCAATAGAACAGAGAAGATGTGTCTTTGGTGGAATTATTTTTTGTAAACTATTTAATTATTTCATTTTCTATTTCTTTTCTCAGCTTTTCGGGCATCTCTTACTTAAAACCAACAAGTGAGAGGCCTGTTTTCAGATCAGATTTATTTTTGGAATATTTGAGTGAAAGTCTGGATTTGGGGTGGGGGTGGGAGTTTAATTCTTGATATGCTTTTCTTGGCATGTTTTGCTAGTCATTCTGGAGCTCATGTTTGCAAATTCTGTTGAAAATTTAGTGATGTAGTTGAAATAGGGCTTCCAACTGGTTCATTGTGTTTAGACCCTCTCCTAAGAATTTGCATTTCCACCCCAGATATATTGAGT